TTAAATTAACCGAACCCAATGTGGATTTCTTCCCCATAGCCTGGGGAGTCCGTAATGCCTTGGGGGAGGAGCTGCACTCACGCTCCTCTCCCATCTCCCTGTCTCCAGTCCCTCTGTGCCTTCCTCCAGATGGTTTTTGGCTTCTGAGCTCCTGGAGTGGCCCACTGCTGGGCAGGGAGCGGCCGGCGGGCCAGCAGCATGCAGGGCGGGCTGGGAAGGGAAGCCAGTGGGCGCAATGTGGTTGCGGCTCTGGGCTCGTCATGGAGGTAGTTGTTTGGTCAGGTAATTCTGCACCATTTGCTGGCCGCAATTAGTGAAGGGAAGAGGACTGCCTTTATGTCCTACATGTGGGTAGATGAACCAGTCACAGCTTCTATCCAGGTAACACCAATAATTGCAGAGACGTGATGAGACAAGCTTCAGTGCAAGCATGCCAACAGTGACCGAAGAAGATGTTTGGCTTGATGGATGAGTAGTCACTGTGTATGTCCTGCTCTTGTCACACGTGTTGGGCTGAAGCAGCTCTGGGTATGCACGTCTATGCTACCCATCGCCTTCATTTACTGGGTAGACCAGAAATGTAAATGGTGCAGTTCTGGAGAAGTTTGAAGTAGCTTTCTGCTACTTCTGCACACTCATTTCTGAATTACCAGTTTCTCTTGACAATAAATATAAGTGAAATTGAAACCACTTTTCAGATTGCCTGCTTCCAACCACTGCCCCGACAGCTTCCAAAAAACAAGCTGCTTCTCTGAACGTAAAAGCCCTCACTGAAATAGCAAATAACAGGAAAAGAGTAAGTCAGGCATCATCAGAACAGATGAGTGACAGAATTTCATAAGGTATGTCTGCGTATACACACACGGACACATACTAGAAAAGACAAAACTATAAAAAAAAGTTCAGCGTTCCCAGCTACTTTGCAAACGACATGTTTCCTTAAATCACTTGATGAAACTTGCTATACTTGTGAAGTTGCTATAGCATCTGAGCTCATCCAACAATATTCAACAGATTTTTATCTGTGGCTCACAAACCACACTGAGCAAATCGAAAATCCCCGGTTACACCGTGCTTTGTATCATTTCCTGTGAGATAAGTCTGAAGAACAAAATTACGCATACAGTGTGTCTGTGTACAGACAGGCTTGCATAGCTCATGAAGTAGGATGACACCTGTCTGACATAATGCCTGGAGAGTGACAAACATTGCACGGGACACCCCAGTGCTTTTATAAATAAGGGTAGACCAGAAAAATGCGTTAATGCTGGGAGAAGACTGGACAGTCTCTTCAGAGAGAAGACAGCTGATCAGATAGCCTCTTTGCTGTGCACTAGGCAACTAACTGAGACAACTGCATGTTCTTCCTTAACGCTTGAATTCTGTTGTTTCTCATCTTTCCCCCACCTAAAGCTGATGCCTCTTGGATGAAGACAGGAGCACTGGGTTTAAAGGAACATAAATGCCTGCTAAGATGGCACTGGCCAATTCACTTTCTAGCAAGCCGGTGCCACCACGCTCCAGAGAAGTTTCTACAGCAGGGGTGGAAGTGCACCAGAGCAAGCTGGATTTTTTCTGCAAGCTGGGCTATGGTAAGCAGGACATCTGCAAAGTGCTGGAGAACCTGGGCCAAGAGGCCCTGGAAGACGATGTGCTGAAAGAGCTGATTCGGATGGGGAGCAAACCTCAAGCTCTGGAGAGCCAGGCTCAGCCTTCCCTGCTAAAACTGGTTGCCCGTGGCTCACGTAGCGCTTCACCAAGGTCAAAGTGGCTTGGAGAAGATGAAGGTGATTCTTCTGATCATTTGAGACCCATTGTGATCGATGGCAGCAATGTTGCAATGAGGTAAGCTCTGTTTCGTAAAAGGCATCTCTCCTGCTCTGAAGCTTTTGAATTTTAAAGCTGATGGCTTGAAGTATGTTTCTTCTTCAGGTGAGAGGTGCATTGGTGTATTTGATGTATAATGTATGAACCACTGCTTATTCCTGTTCTTTGGCTGAGGCAAGGCTTCCTGGGACCTACTGTCTCTATGCCCATAAATATGCACGCCAAACGCAATCACTGGCTCGCTCTGCGTTTTGACCTTTCATAAGCCACCAGCTAGCTAACCACTACCATGTACGGCAGTATGATTCAGCAGCTCTCTCTCCCTTTTAGTTCACCACTGATATTTACGTGCCTTTTCAAATGGGTACCTAGGATTTCTAAATCTATATGCTGAGGTGTTGCCAGGAAAAACTGGTGACCAGACAGACAGAACAGCCCAACTAACCTAAGAAGGAGAGGGAAAATAAAGACAGGTGGCTGTGGTTCCTAACAACATCACAGTTGTACTGTTTTGACTTGCAAGTAAACCCCAACAATGTTCCCAGCTTGTATATTTTTCTTGGTTTTCGTTTTGGCTTCATTGTTATGGAAATATCAGGGAATTGATAGTTGACGTGTATTGAATAGTCTCATTTCCTCCGTAATTAATTCTGTTTCTGGGAAACATCATAGCAACCCATCCTGGCCAATTACATTTCCTAAGCAGTGCCCTGACACTGTGAAAGCACTCTAACTGGTGGGGAGCCTGGCACATCCACATGGATGGGAAGGCCAAAGACAGTCATGGCTTGGCCTCTGTTTACCTAAGCGATATGGACAGCCAGAGGCCCCAGCAGTCGAGAGTCCAGGGCGCACTGGCTATCCACCGGTTTTCCCTGTTAACTTCCCTTCCCGCTCAGCATGGCCAAGCCCAAGTCCTTGCAGGTTGGGACAAGGCGGAGGAGGGCTTCCTCCTTCGGTTAGCTTTGGTGTGAGGTGAGATGAGACCACATCCCCTCTGGTTAGAGGGGAAAGGGGCCAAGCACATCCAGAGCAACTAGAGACTACGCAAATTATGCCATCTTCTGGATGAAGGGAGAAATCCCATCCGAAAATGAAGGGTTCCTCGGTCAGGGCAGCTCATGAGTGAGAAATACACAATAGAGCAAAATTGTTTAGCCTTGGCTGGGCCATGAGCTCAGTAGCCAGGTGTTAGGATCTCCTGCCCCCATTTGCATTTTCACCCTAGACCCTCTTTAGGGTGTCCTTGCCTCTCTCCAAAAGAAATGAGCACCCATGCAGGCAGAGCAGCTGAGCTGAGCACCTACGCTTTCATTGTGTTAGGGGCAATACTACCCTTGACTGGCCATGCGCTTCATTCTCCCGGAACACCCTGGTCCTCACCAATTTACCAGGGCTTTTTTAGAGCAGGCAGAGGCGGACAAGGCAGAGAACAGCATTGTTTCCAAGATGGCAGAAAACGCACCATTGCCACTGAGCAGGAGGCCCAGAGTAGGTTGGTGGCTAATGAGACAGAGCATGTTTTGAGCTTGGACTACTCTGGGAAAGTACTGAGATGATCCCACTGTGCCAGCCCATGCACAGGAGTTTGCTAGACAGAGATTATTTAAAACAAATGTCATTACTGTTATGTGCAGCAAATGGCTTGAGCTAGCATGTCGTATTGCTTTCCTAGACCGCATGCTCACCTAAATGGGTTTTCAAGAAGCCACACGTAGTTCTGGCATGTAAAATTTAAATCTTTTTGTACAATAATTTCCAAACTGTGAGTCTGAGAGATGTCTGCCTGCTAGATTATTGAAGGCTGGTGTTCTGCTGTGAATTCCTCATCTTTTACTTAAAAGGAATTAGAGGAATGTGAAGTACTTTTGCATTTCAGAAAGGCAAAGGTTTTACAGATCTTCTCAGACATCCCCAAACTCTGTCTTGATAAAGACTGCTTGGATCATGGAGAAGACTATTGAGCTTGTCAGTTCAGTTCATACTGAACTGAAGCATCCTGGAAGGAGCTGCTTTCCTCTCCTGGATGCCTTTCCAAAGCAGTGTTGAATGGCATTTTCTTTGGCTAATGGGATGGGCTTGGTGAGTGCTTCCAGTATCCTCATTTTAATTTTTCTGGTTTGCTGCTGTCAGATGGAGAAGGGCTGTTTGCAAAAATAAGGGAAAAGGGATTTTAGGTTTCCTTGCTGGGAAAACTTCAGAGTCATCAACACCAAAACCCATGAAAGTGCAGGAGAAGCAGCAGTTTAGGGATGAAGCTGTCAAAAAGATGAAGCTTGGAGAGCCAGTTGCCTGTGTGGAGAAAAGCATCTTGAGCAATTGTATTTCTGTCTTAGGATTGGTGTTTCTGGAGCATTTCAGAGTCGGCGTTCAGGGCCCATTGCGGGCTGCAAGGTTTTGAAAAGGATGTGTATGCCTCAGGGTAATAAAGCGAGTGAGTTGGCAGTCTCCAATCATCAATCAGCCTATCCATAGAACCTGAATGGAAAATAACCTTGCCTTCAGCCAGTCTCACTAGTCAGGCGTCTCTCTTTGTTTTTCCGTTGTGTAATGAACAAGTTAGCCATCTGCCAGCTATCCATGGGAAGCTGGGAGGATGGTTTAGCAAGGCTAGTGGAAAAAAATAAATGGAGTTGTCTTAACATGAAAAGGGAACTGTCATAACCCTATTCACGGCACACTGAAGAGGCTATCTAGTCTAGCGCTTGCACGTACACCTAGTTTTTAAGCTGTGATAGGTACAGAGGCCAGGGAGAATGTAAAGTTTTAAAGCCCCTGCTCCGTTGCACAGCAGACATTGGTGTTCAGTTGTGTCGACACTGCAGCACGCCATGCGTGTACGTACTATTTTAGATACACATTCTCTAGGTTTGGCTGTAGCAGCCACTGGATTAAGTGATAATGCTGAGAAACAATTCCAGGTGCCTATTCTTGCTTGTTTTGCTTGTCCTTTTGGCCAAATCACTTGTGCTTGAGTGCTTTACCTTCTGCACTATGGGTATATCCAGAATTACTTTCCTAAAGCTGATGAGGTGTTATATACGAGTAGTCAGTGTTAAAGCAGGCTGTTGTCGAACTTTGTTTGAGTCGTGGCATTAAAGATGTACCTAGACTTCCTTTTAATGGCAGTTATCTGAAAAAGTCACCTGCACTTCCAATGTACCTGTCCAGGTGACTTTATACCTATCCTGGTTAGATCCTATCCTTTAAACCCAAACAAAACTGTAGCTCTAGAATGGAGATTAGATGTGTCAAGCACGTCAGACCATTTATTATTGGTGGGGGCTTTTTTTTAAGACTTCTTATTGCCTGGGTAGCTATTAATGAACAACTGGGTTTCTTCCTCCAAACTGCACTATTTTTCATTTGTGGTCACCATTTCAGCACTGACACTTTTATTAGGTGTCAGATGGAGCTTTGATTATGAGGCTGATGTAGGTGGAACCTAGACTTGAATTCCTGGGGGATGGTGAGGAGAGAGGCATTTAAGACTGTGGCATCATCCTTGACTGGTCCGTCACTGCAGGTGGGTGTAGTAACCAAGAGAGTAATTTACAAGTATGTAGTATGTTTTGCAGAGGTGAAAGCCTGAGTGGGGCTGTGGTCATATTATCCAGAAAGCTCAAAGTACAAGGATGATGTTTCTGTAGATATTGTGAGGGTGTTTATCTATTTTAGGACTTTGTGTAGAATTTATTTTTGTTTCCTCGTGCAGAGGTAGTTAACAAATTACCTTCCTTTGCACGTGCACCGCACTGTAATAAAATTTTAGATAAGAGAATGACAAGCAGTGAGAACTTTCAATAGGGAGGGAGAAACCTAGGAAGAATATTACCCCCAATTGGGTTTTTTGAGGTTGTTTTCTGTGTCTTGCTCTGAATATTGATAATTCTCCAGAGCTCGCCTTGACTGCCTCCTCTACAGTGCCTGTCCTGGGGCTTTCCTACCTCTCTGTGCAATGAAGACAAAATGGACCAACGAGGGCAAGATAAAGATGGGCCTGAGGTGCCTGTGGCCATCTCCACTGAGGTCTTGTCCCATTTTTGGTGTCCTGGGTTAGGTTCTCTGTATTTCACATCCTGCCTCTTACAGTTTTCCTTCCCCCATAGTTTGACTCCTGTTTCCAAAAGAGGTCAGCAGCAGAATGACCTGCGATCACACTTGCAGCTACTTCAGACATTAAAATCCCTAATGTCACTGTTACCACAGAAGAAAATTCCCACATTTTATTTCTCATAGGAGAGCCTTGTGGGTTTCTGCTTGTGCTGGAAGAAACTCTCACTCCTCAAGCCATTATCAGACAAGGCACGTGAAACGTCTGACACAGCCTAAGATCTTGCCAGTACTTTAGGACCCAAGTCCATACAGATACAGATGGAAGCAACAGGCTTGGGTAGCAGGCAGGTCATAGAAATGGGGGGTAGGATACCTCTCATTTTAAGGATCCAAACTGCTTCAGATAACAAGTTTCTGGTTGTGCTGGAGGACTTGTTTGGATCTGTCCAACCAGGACACCCTGCCAGGTTGCTTTCTTGGAAACTGGTGAATGACACAAAAGCTGTTTGTTTTGTCTTTTCATTACTGGCTCAGTTAAAGAGACCTCTAAGCTTCTTGAAATCTTTGCCTCACCATCCTCCTCTTTTTTTTTATATAGTCATGGAAACAAAGAGATATTCTCCTGCTGGGGCATCCAGCTGGCAGTGGATTGGTTTCGAGACAGGGGGCACACGTACATCAAGGTTTTTGTCCCACTCTGGAGAAAGGAGCCCCCTCGACAAGACAGTCCAATTGCAGGTAGGTCGCCATCCTGAGCATAATTTGGCAACCATTAGGTGCAGTTTGGAGGCAGGGGGTGCGAAGAGTCCAGTTCGGTTTTGCCCTGTAAAGACAAGCAGAGTGCAGGTTGTGTATTAGGTTTCTAGCACTTAAATTAGTCATTAATTTATTGCCACACGCTCCTGGCTGGCAGCTGAAATGGCACACAAGGCTTTGTTACACTGCTTTGAGCCTTCTGCTTTAGAAGCACAAGTTGCTGCCAGCTGACTTAAAGAAAGAGTGAGTTTGTCAGCTCGCAATGTGTCTGCAGAGCTTTTAAGGCCATCCAGGAGACGACGACATCGTTTCACACATTATCCAAAGGCGGCAGGATCCAAAGCGTTCACTGCTGCTTGACTATTATCCGTTAGCCTATTACCCCAATACAGGAGCTACATGGGTTCCTCTTCCAGGAGAAGGAAACGCACCATCTGAAGTCTGCGGAGGGTGACAATATTTAGTTTGTATGGAAATAGATCTGCCACATTTGTGCCAGCAGCTCGGCATCTGCAGCTGCAGATGAGGCGGCTGGGGGACCGCCCTTCTTTGTTGTCGGAC